AAGGAGTAAGGAAAAAAGGAGTCAGTCAGAGGGGAGAAAAGGAAAAGGACCAAGAGAACGAGCAAATAAAACGTTGCTAGCCACACGCCATTTTCATGTTGCATCCTGCCATTACACAGACACACAAACTCTCTCTCACACATACACTGAAACACACACACACACAGACACATGGAGTGAGCGAGAGGAAGAGAAGTGGTCTTGGCGTTCGCCGCATGCAAAACTGCTCGTTTATTCAACAACATAAACATTGTTGTGCACATAAATTTATACAAAGTTCTAGTTTACATACCAGGCTAAAAAGGGGGAGGGGGAGAAGGGGGGCGGAGGGCGTAAAAAGGGGGCGGCAAGCTGGCACAGTTAACGGGTCGAATCGATATTCATATCAACCGCAAAATGTGTGTCGCTGTCGTTGTTGCAGCACTTTTATTTCCCTTTTTCTGTATTGTGTTGTGCGGATCAAGGGAAAACCGGGCTACAAGTGGAAGGGGGCGGGGCGTGGAAAAGGAGGGGGGAGGGGCGAAAAGTGGGTGCCGGAAAAGCGGGTGAAGGCCTGAAAGTAGGCTGCACATTTTGATGCATTTAAGAGGAGCGACAGCGCCAGGCTGCAGGACATTGCCAGGGACATACGTATGTGCTCGCAATTTGTCGGCAGCGGCGTCGCGTTTTGATTTTATTTATTTGCCCAACGCCCGGTATCCAATTGTGATAAGTCAACGCGAACAATGCCAATTGCCGGCGGCCCTTCGCCCAAAAATTCCATTACCAATTCATTTTCGGCCTTAAACGCAAACAGTCAACCGCAGTTGTTAAGCAGCTCTTGAATTATTAAAATTAGTTCATTTATATATGGCTGCTCTTTGTCCATTTGCATTTAAACAACACAAATACATGATGCTCGCCATGTGCATTTCGGCTTTATTTTTATGGTTTATTTGCACTAAAATAATTCAAATGGAACAAATTCAAAACCGTTGAAATTTTGAGGAGAAATAACAAAAAAAACACTCCTCTTATTTTTTCTAGCAAAAGCGAACATATGCAGTAATTAAAAAGACCGTTGACGAATTATTTTAGGCCTTGGCGAACTGAAATTGTTTTATTTCGCCCGCTGTCGCCGTAAATAAATGAAATTCAGCGAACATGGCGGCCAGAAACTGTTGCCACGATTCAACAGTTGGTGGCTGTCTTGGTTCGCTTCGAATCGGTCTGGTTGTTCTCTCTTTATTTTTTCTGTTTTGGGTATTTTGGGGGCGAGAGTTGGGGCGAGTCTGTGGGTGGCGGGTGGCAAGTGGCGGGTGGCTTTGGTGAGGGTTTTGGGACAAGGCCGCGGCGGTTTCTGTTTGCGTTTGCGTTTTGTCAGCCATGACAGCGTCGGCAATTGCGCCACCTGCGGCTCCATATTGACACTTGTGTGTGTCTCTGTGTGTATGGGTGTGTGTGTGTGTTTGTGTGAGTATTCGTGGGGGTTTGTTCTGAAGGAAGGGTATGTGAGTGTGTGTGTGGCCTTGTTTGTTTATGAGCCCTAATCAAATTGCCCATAATTAGATGCAAAAAAGTTGAATGTTTTGAAACGTTTTCGACGTTTTCTTGGCCTCTTGAAAATAAGTCCCCTTGCCCCACCAATCACCCAACCCAGCCCCGTTTTTCGACCACCCGAATTTCCCACCTCAACCTCCATTGCCACTTCCATTTTCCCCATTTCCACTTCCTGTCGTGCCGGAATCGTAAGCATACCAAAAACGCACGAACGGATACGCCACGTTAGCTGTTCGCAATGCGTTCGGAATTTCGAAAAATCCATTTCGATATGTGTGTTTCTCAGTTTGTATAAATATGTGTATGTGTGTGTGTGTTTGTGTGTGCTTGGGTCGCAGATCCTTTCAAGGAAAACGAGGCTACGGTTTTAAACTAGCCAAAGCCGAAGTACAAGTGGAAATTAAGAATTTAGCACGCCAGTTTGGGGCAATAAAAAAGTTTAAATTAAGAATTTATAAGGTCAGCGCGCCAGGCAATAAAAGACGTTCAATAAATGATTTAAGACAAGGGATTCAGTGGGGTATTAAAATGTCTATCTATGCTTTTAAGATAAAATTTAACAGATTTTGCTTTAAAAACAAGTTCTTGATAATCAATGAATGTTGTGCGAGTGTGTATGATGTTAAAGATGAAAGTTTCTTTTGATAATCATATAATATTTATTTAATATCTGTTGATGGATCTAATACCCAAATTCATTATCTGTTTTTTATAATTATTTCTCAATAATAGTTATCCATATTCTGGGTTACAAATAATGTATCTTTTTAAACGTTTTTAAGAAATATTTTAATGGAAATGGAGCTTGTGTCTTTTTTTAATTAAATCAATTTTGGAAAACATTTTACTTTATTGTTTCCTTCCTCGAAAAGTAAACACTTCCTGGAAGTTTGCAAAATGAATTCGAACATAGTCCGCGCGAAAGGCTGAAATCTGTGGAATCTTTTCGATTTGGAAACCGCGCCGCGGGCCATTCTGCAATCCTTTTAAGCCAGGTCGAGCTGGATTTCTTCCTGCCGCCCGTGCAGTGAATCCTCCCCCCCCGCCCACTTCTCGTCCGCTTATCGCAATCTATGGGGCAGTTGCTCTGCCATGTGGCAGCCCTTTGTCCCCTTGGCGCATTGTGGAAGTTGCACACGAGTTGCTGCCGGACAAACAAAAGAGACAGATAAACTGATTGACAGATGAACGGAGGGAGCGAGATGGCGTCAGTGCACTCAATGAGGTGGCGGTTACTGGTGGGTGGTTACTGGTGGGTGGTTACCAGTGGGTGGTGGTGCTGGCAAGTGGGTGGGTCTTGTGGAAAAGACTGTTTGACATTTGCTGTCATTGTCAGTTGGTGATGTTGCCACTGCTCCTACTGCTTTTGCTCCTGCTCCTCCTTCTGCTGACCGCCTGTCGCTGCTTTGTGCAATTGCCCGCTGTTTACCCAGCACCACACACTCAACCGCCAAGTGAGCGAGGCACCCCAACGCAACCACCCAATTAACCACCCACACCCACACCCACACCGATCCACCAGCGAGTGGGTCGCAAGCTTGACCGCCGCACAGTGGTCGGTCTTGTATGGAGAAGGCGGCCAAAAATACTTCCAGTAGGAATATCGAGTTGAAATTTTTTTTGTAGGTATATAATAGCGTATGAATGTTATATTTTAAGTATCAGCTCCATTAAAGCCAAATATATCCGCTACCATCGTGTTTACCATAAAATGTTCAAAATTTGACTCCCAAATGCATACTACACTTTTTTTTAAGCGTAACTGACAAAAATTATATTTGTTAAACACTTAATTTTGGTTAAAAAATTAACAAAAGATAACAAAAAACGATGATTAACATAAATTTATAGTAAAATAAAAGTAATAAAAAATAAATTTTTCAATATATATTAGAAATGGTTACTCTAGAAAATCAAAAACTGATGAAAAAGGAACGAGGTACTCGTCTTCTTTAACAGATTCTGAACGGATTCGCAGCTATTCGCAGATGATTTTCACAGATAATACTAATTAAATATTGATTAACATTTTAAAAAAAATTTCATTATTGAGAAGTTTTGGGAACACAACTTTAACCTTTGCAGAATATTGATGTTTAGTTCTGCAGAACTTGTAAAATTGAGGTGGATAAACAATTATTGTCACAGTCACATATAGCATGCAAAATGAATAAAAATTAGAAAAACACAATCTACAAACCTTCAACTTTAATATTCATTTCACTTTCGGATATTAAACGATTGTTTTATATTTTTTTTAATTATTAACTTAACGCTTTCAAAAGACATGCGCACGCTTTCAGTTGATGGCTGGGTTTGTGCGCTCACTTTGCACCCCAATTTCTCCGCAAATATGTGGAGCAAGACAAAACTAATACTTGCTTTTAAAGCCTTGTTTTATTGATAAACAGATGCGCCAAACTTGAAATTAAAATTCCAAAATTGATTTTTTGATTTTTGGCCTATGGGACCGACCACTGTGCGCCGGTGGGCAACGCCTTTGTCTCTGCGGTCGAGCACGTATGCTTATTGAAATTGTCGACTGACCGACCGACCACTCGAATCACCTTGCACCACCCAATCACCTACTTTTACCACACACCAGCACTCCAGCTGCAAACTGCAATCGATTGTCACAACAAAACAGAATGTAGAGTGGCGAGCAAGTAGTAAAAATATTTCATAAAATATTTACATTGTTGTGCGGCTCTCTGATGCTGCTGCTGCTGCTGCTGCTGTTTTCCTTTTTATCCATTTGTTTATTTGTTGGTCCTTGTATTTTCCCTCTTGATTTTTACCCTTGCCATTCGCCTGATTGATTTTGTTTTAATTAAAGCACTCTAAAGTTGAGAATTCCTGGACTTGCCTTTCACATATTAGTGTTTGGTATTTTTCTTTGATTTAATCAGTGCAAAAATGCAGGCTCAACAATTAGTCATTTTATCTAAACGAAGTTTATTGAAGCAATCAGTTTTAAGGTATTTTTGTGGCTTAGAAAGATTTTATTTTGGCTTTTTAGGTTTCTTTGTATTCGAAACGTATTTAAACTTTTAAAGTACATGATATGGATGAATTATAAATGAGTTAAGGAACAAAGTGTGTTTATTCAAGATCAGCTCAAGTTTATCAAGAAATATGTGTTTCTATAAATACTTAAAATAAAAACGGGAAAAGAAATTATTGACAATTTTTAAAGCACTTATAAAACAAATATTTTTAATGTTTATCTTTTTTTCCTAATTGGTTATAGTATTATTACCCTTCTTTAAGACATTTTTTTTGCACCAACGATAATTAATTCAGGAAAATACATTTAATTTCTCCAACTTCTCTGAAACTAACACATCAACCTTTCAACCTGTTTTTAGCATCGTCATGGGAAACATTTTCCCATTTCGGCTGTTCCTTGGCCTAATTGCAACTGAGAACTCATAGACCGTCGCTTATTGTTTTCCTTGCAGATTCTATAACGGAAACGGAAGTGACGCCCACGGGAAGAGGAAGAACATCGGGCGGCAGGACAAACAGCTGAATAATGCAAATTAAAACACAATAAAATGTAAAACACAAATGACAACAGAACAGCAAACGGCGAACGGAGCGAATAATAGCACAAGTAAAAAAGAGCCAAAAAAAAAAAAAAACAAAAACAAATAATATAAAATTAAAAAAGAAAGAAAGCGAATCGGTTGACATGCCAAAAAAAATGCGCGTGGCGGCGAGTTTTCCACTGAATTGATTTGATTTAAGCCAGGAGCACTGGGCGCCGGCATACGGAGCGTATGCGCGATACGTATACGCGATCTAGGGCGCCGGGGGAGCGGCGCGAAATTTGCATAACTTTGCTGGCGTGGCATAAACATCAAAAACAAATTGCAAGTAACAAAGGGAAACAAGAACGGTCATAAAAACGGCGCCAGCCTCGTAAAAAAAATACGTACAACAACAACAACAGCAGAAAATTCGCCCACCCCCCGCCACTTCCTGCTCTAGAAAAAAAAAACCCCTCAGACACTCAAAAAAAAACCCACAAATCCCCCCACCACCAACATTCATTCATTAATTTATGCAGCAAATCAAATAAGAAACGGGGAAGACGTATAAAAGTAATCGCAGGCAGTAACAATTAAGGGCGAGAGTGCAGCAGCAGCAGCAGCCAAAAGCCAAGAAAAACCAAGGAAAAACAAAAATAAATTAAGAAAGAAAGAAAAAAGCAAAAAAAAGGAAGGAAAATCCAGAAGTCAAAAAACCGGTTAGCAAGGGTTGCTTATAAATGTACCAGGACAGCGGCTGCAGCAGCAGTAGCAGTCGACGCGGCAGCAGCAGTGCAGCAGCAGCAGCAGCAACAGCAGCAGCAGCAACATCTACAGCAGCAGCTGCAACAGCAACAACAACAGCAGCAGCAGCAACAACAACAGCAGCAACAACAACAACAGCAGCAGCAACAACAACTAGCAGCAGTGACGAGGAAACACTCGAAACGCTCACGATTATAACCACCACCATAACCGATAGCGATATCCATGCGACGACGACAACAACAACGGTTATAGCCAGCGGTACGGCGACAACAGCGGCAACAGCAACACTTGCCACCCTTGCAACACTAGCAACAGCAGCAGCGGCAACAGCAGTAGCAGCAACAGGAGCGACTGGAGTAGCAACAGGAGCAACTGGAGCAGCAGCAACAGCAGCAACAGCAACAGCAAGCAGCGATATCGAAGATAGCAGCTTGGTGGAAAGTGAGGAGAGCGAGGAGTGCGAGTACATCGAGATCGATTGCCAGACGACAACCGCCCAGGAAGGCACTTCGCCGAGCGGCGGCAGCAGCAGCAGCGGCAATGCGGTCTTGCTGCAGCGCAGCAGCAACAACCACCGCCACCAGCAGCAACAGCAGCAGCAGCAGCACCATCAGCAGGAGCAGCAGCAACAGTTGCAACTGCAGCTGCAGCAGGCGGACGTGCGATTGTTGCGCAAAATCGGCTATATTGCATCGAGAGTACGGTGCTTGGCCAAGTTCTACGGCGATTTCCGGCTGGTGAATCCGTACAGTGCCCGACGGCAGCGTCGCCAACTGCAGGAGATCCTGCTGCGGCACTCGATCTTCGATCCTGGCAAGGAGCACCAGCGGGCGATCGTCTTGGCCGCGGCGACAGCGGCAATTGCCGGTCCGTTGGCCGCCATCGATTGCGCCTGCGGCAGCAGCAGCATCAGCTTAGAGGCGGTCAGCAGTCGGAGTCGCAGCAGTGAGCTGGAGGAGGAGCGCCACGAGGACGAGGAGGAGGAGGATCGCCAGGAGCAGGAGCAGCAGCAGCAGAAAGAGGATCACCAGCAGTTGCAGGAGTTGAAGGAGCAAGTGCTAAAGGATCACCAGCATTTGGAGGAGGGGGATCCACCGCCGCCGGCGATTGCCGTTACCACCACCACCGCCACGACCACCGTGCGCCGGAAGTCGTCGACGAGCTCCACCATCAGTGGCACGGCCACCGTTTCCGGTTCCGTTTCCGTTTCGGCCTCCGCCTCGCAGTCCTTCTGCTCGAACAACATTAATCTGCTCGAGGAGCTGCTCATTCAATTCTACGAGGAGCAGGATCATCGCGGCAATCTGACGGTGATCAGACATCATCATCATCACCACCAACAACAGCAGCAGCAGCAGCACCAGCAGCAGCAACAGCAGCAGAGGATTACCAACAACAATAACAACAACAATTGCAACAGCATACAGAACAACAACAATATGTCGAATCCTGTTGCCGCAGTTGCCGCACCAGTTGCTGCAGCAACCCAAGTTGCAACATCAGCCGGCGGAGGAGGAGCATCAACAGGGGCGACTCTTGATCAGCCGGCCACTTCGAGCGGCACTAGCTGCACCACCACCACCACCAGCGCCACCCAGCACCACTTGCAACCCACCCAGCTGCCGGATGGCAGCGACAACAATCCGCGACGCCGGCGGGCCAGCGATTGTTCGGCGGTGCAGGCGGCGCTGCAGAATCAGTTGCACTGCATCACGCTGAAGAACAACAATTGCGGCAAGGCGCTGCCCTTTCATCGCGGCAGTTGCGGTGCCGCCGGTGAGCATCTGCTCGCCGCCAACTCGATTGCCAATCGGGCCACCATCATTTTGAGCAAATCCTGCAGCAATGTGGATGGCGATGGGGCAACCACCGCCTTGAGTCCCGCCGGCTTTGGTGGCAATAAGATGCGTGCGAGTGCCACCGATATCGAATCGAATGCGATGAACGGTGCTCGTGACGTCATGGTGGCATCGAATAACGGTAATGGTAATGGTAATAACGGCAACAACGGCAACAACGAGTACAGCATCCTGCAGCTGAACAACACGATCATCCAGTGCCACTTCAACGACGGCGACTTTCGCGCCCTGGTCAAGGACCTCAAGCGGAAGGTCGAGTACACGGAGCGCATGAACTGGCTATGTGAGTAGACTGCACATATATTATTACCCTACCATTTTAGGGATAATAGCAGAAGTAGGGATATTGAAGAAGGTAGAAAGTGGATCAAGTTATAGGAAAGGTTATGAAAATCTATCTAATTCTGAATACATTTTAATTCATGACTATTATTCATAACCAGGGTTTAAAGATTTTGGGACCCTTTGACTCCTGGAAGTTTAACAATTAAATTATTAGATTTACTATGATATTAGAACCCAGAACAGAACAACATTTTATCAAGAACGATATAAGTTTAGGTTAAAGTGATTTTGGGTATACTCTTAATACTCGTAAATCGAAATAGTAAAGTAGAATTATAACACATAAACTTACTTACTTATCCCATTGCTTCTTCTCTAAAACAGAATAGGTATTTTTAAATACAAGCCAAACTTTTAAGTTAGCTTTCAGTTAAGTTTCTTTGTTGGCCTCTGTTTTGAACAAACAGATTTATCGTAAACCAAACCAATTCGATTCGATGAAATTCCACACACAGTTGGCCTGGCCGACATTCCAGCCAATCTGCCACTTTGGCTGATATTACTCCTGCACTTATTTGACCGAAATAATTGATGGTCCTGTTTCGCGCTGACAAATGGCACAAATGGCCGAGTACTTTGGCATTCGCCAGACCCACGCTTTTAACCATTTCACCCACTTCCGGCCGGCTTTGCACTCCCTCTTTTTGTTGTGTGTAATCGCCGCAAATGAGGCATGAGCAAATCCAACAATGGAAGGGAATCAAATGGACAAATTTAAATGCAACTACAATGGAGATGGAAAAATCATTTCAAAACGCTGCGCAAATGCCACGAGTGCAACGGGGTTTAGGCCATTGGCTTTTCCATCCGGAAAAGTGTGCGGGTGAAAAGTGGTCGGTCGGTCGGCTGGCTATGTGAAATATTTAATTCAATGGCAGTGGCGGCACTCACCGTTTCCACATTTTCAAACAATTCGCTTTCCAAAGGCTACCGAACAAAACGCTAATGAATTTCTTATGAATGCTGCTAGATTAGAATTTGATTGGTTTTTCTGCACTAAACATGAAATATGGATTCGCCATAAATAAGTGTCGATTGCCACGTAAATCGTAGAAGCGTAAAACTATTCACGGAGTTTGGAGAAAGTGTGTCACGGACGTGCCCTAAATATTATTGCGAGGACTCAGATCCTGTCGCCTCTCGAGCTCATCAAAAGTTTCAATTTTTGACTGACTTTCCGCACTTTCCATGGCGTCTCGATTGCTTCAGAGCCTTCAAAGGCAATCCGCCCTTTATGTGTACCGTGTGTCCTGCAGGACAATAAAAAATATAAGACAACAAAACCGACTTTTGCACTGAGAGAAGAAAATAAGAAACTTTTGGAATATTTTTGCATGAACGTTGTTAAATGAAATATTTTTTTGTGTATTAATTTGTAATACTGTAATAATGCTTATTAAATTTGAAAAATTTAATTAATGATCTTTTTATTAAAAAGGCCTAGTAAAGTGATAAGCTTTTCCTAAATAAACAATATATCTTCAGTGCACAAAAACTATCAGAACTTTGTTGAATGGCATTAAAAGTTGTCTTTGCATCGACGCCACATTTTCCTTCTAGTTTTTGTGCTGCTGCTCCTGCAGTTTGTTTTCTGAGTTTTCCCTGGCTTTTCTCCATTTGACATTCGTCCTTGCAGTTTGCTTAGCATACTTATAGCTAGGATCTCTCTCTGAGTGTGTGTGTGTGTAAGTGTGCGTAAGCTGTTGCCTTTTGGCATTTTTCCACACCGTCGCATTTTAAACATTTCAATTAAATTTGAGCCGCAATGTTTGTCACCATTTTTGGGCGCCTGTTGAATGCCTTTCGTTGCTGCTGGGATTTTTTCAAACCCCCTCCACAAAATATTTAACTGTGGACTTTTCTTTAATCTTTTGGCTTACCAACAAGCAGCTTAAGTTTATCTTCTGTATTTAATGGCAATCGTTAAGTTTTTAAGTTTTTTTTTTAACTTCATTTGTAACTAAAATACAAACGGAAAGTTAATTTAAGTTGTTACTAAAACAAGGAAACAGCAATTTGCCTAAGAACCCCTCAAAATTTCAATAATTTCTACTTTCAACTCAACTCTTTAGGTTTTGTGTTTTGATAGTTTAGATAAACCAATAGATTTGTCTATTCTTTAAGATCCCAAATTATAGACGCGTTCCATTTAATTTGTTTGCCACTCGCAACACTATTTATTATCCATCGTGCGTGCCCAACACTGTCACCGGGAGACAAATGGGCCGACTTTGATTTTTGGGTGCCAACATTGGCTGGCTGGCAATCCAACATTGCCTGGCCACCTTGGCTTTTCCGGGCAGTCGGCCTCCCATATTTGCGGATCGTAAATCAAAGGCATCGGGACACTGAGTAGAGGGTGTGCCAAGAGGCCAGGAATCATAAATTGCCCGGGCATTTGAGAAGGAGCCGCAAAACGCAAAATGGTCATAAATTCAAAAACCTAAATGGCTTTGGCAATACTCTGAATCAAAAGCCAACAAAAGGGAACCAGGAAGAGAAGGCCGGCCAGCCAGTGAAAGCCAGAAAGTCAAGAAAGGAAGAGGAAGGAACGGGGAAGAACGGTGGATGAATGGCAGGAAGAGGAGGAGGGAGGAAGGGAGGTAGTGAGTGAAAAGAGGGGTAAACATAATACAAATGACATATAACAGGAGTCGGGAAATATGTCGGAAATCTACTCGAGACAGTCGCCGAAAAAGCCAAATGGCCAAGAGCCATATCTCTCAGCCATATCAGACTCGAAAGGCACTTAAACCGCCAGTGGAAAGGGCAAGTCGGAAAGTCAGAAAGTCGGAGAGTCGAAGAGTCAGAAAAATCGGAAAATGCCAGGGAGCGCAGCCGAGAGATGTGACAAGAGGCAAATGGCAATGGGATTGCTTCGTGGCGGGAGGCAGGCAGCAAAAATCTAATAATAATAAAATACTTTATTGTTCAGTTAACAATTCAATTGTTTCACTTAACAAGAGACGGGCCACAGTCGATGCCACAAAGCCATGAGCGACAGACAGATCCTGCGTACGTGGGATGAAAATGCTGGACACGTGTGCACTGCGAGAGAAAGTTTAGGAATGTCTACTTTCATATTAAATTATTTTTATATAATTTAAAATAGTTACCCCTTCAATAATTTATTATATAAACACTTAACATTGTTTTGACAAAAGTGTTACAATAGCCTATTAGAAACAAATTATAAAAAAATATTTTACAAAAACAGACGAAGTAAAACAGAAATGTCTAAATAATTTTTAAAATGTTTTTTATTTCTGAGAGATGAATGTTCTTTATTGTTTTTTCAAGTGCACTTATATCGGTGTGTAGATAAACTGGTGTATAAGAATAAATTGCCACAAACGAACATTAAGTGATAAAGTGTTTGGCGAATCAAACCGACGATTGACTCGCCAAGGACTCGACTGCCAAGAAGATGGGAGATGTCCTGTCGGTGGGCAGGATTCGGGAGGAGTCGAGAAATCAAATCGAAATATTCGGCCAGCTGCTGGCAGGAATGATGTCCTGGCATTCGACGGACTGCAGCTGCATCGTCATTATTCGCATTCCCATCGTCAGGCTGCACTTGACATTTAGAAATGGCAGTTAGTGAATGCCGAAGGTTTTCCGTTTCATCAGCGCCCCGAGCAAGATGCTCCTCGAGTTTTCCCGAGTGGAAAATATTTGGCAAACAAAGGTCGGAATTTAATTCATTGCTATTTCACCCCGCGGCGCGTGTCGCTGCATTTTCTTTATATATATATTATATATCTATATATATATTAATATCTCCGCGATGCTAATGAGACGAGGTCGGTTCCTAATTGAAACTTCTGCGCCAGACTAAAGCAAATTTTGCGGTGCCCGAAACTTTTTCTTGTCCTATTAATTATAATAACGTGCTTCTCTTCAAGTGACAGAAGGGGTGGGGGTAAAAACTCTTCGAAAAGCTCAAGGTGAAATTGTTGCAAAAATAAAGTTGAGGAGACAACTGGCGATCATAAAACTGCCAATGTTTCGTTCGCTTTAAAAATTAGTTTCAAACTTTAAGACCTCTTTAGAGTGAATTTTTAAAGAAAACATAAAAAAGTTTTTTTTTTAAGTTTACTGCCAGTTTCATTTAGTGTGAAAAACATTTTAAAGGATTACCAGTAATTAAATCAATATAATTATCAATGTCATGCATTGAATGCATTAATTCGCAAGATTTATTTTTTTAAATATTTCTGTTTGCCATGGGACTTTAAAGGTTTAATTAGGTTATTAAAGAAACAGGACGTTTTATATGCATTTAATATGGATTTGTCTGATTTATTTTAAACTATTTAAAAGGATATCAATTATATTGCAGTGTATGAGAAGAACACAAAATTGAATCAGCTTACATCCAATTTGGCTGGAATTCCGTCTGACTTGTCTATTAAGCGCCTTAGCCCCTCCCCCTTTTCCTCCTCGCAAATAAACGCACTCTGGAAAGTGCGAATGAGAATATCGGCAATACTGACAGATTGACTGACTGGCGGACCGGATTATTGGCCATAGGTACATGGCAAATCAGGCAGCTGATGACAGACAGTATCCTAATAGAGAAAGGGATATTCCTTGGATTGACTTTTTAAATGCCATCAATCATGAATCAATTTGGTTCGAGCTTCGCCTTGATTAAATCCAATAAGACTAATGCGTTCGTTATTGAATGGCAATTGAAGCAATTTAATGCTTATCGGGTGTATTTATTACAAAATCTAATTCGAATGTTCAATTGAATGCTGTTTTATCAAAGAGCTCAGATATAAAGTGAGATATAAAATTAGAATTTTATTCAGAGCATAAATCAATTTTTTATCGACCAAATCTAGTCTTTTCCGCTTCGTTTTTGACACACTTAAGTGTGGGCGTATCAAATGCTCATACACAGCCACACCCACACACACACGCAAATATATC